AAAAGTAATAGCTCGTTTCACTAGACTGTAACAAGCAAAAATAGATAAAAGTTTCAGATAGTTTTCCAGGGCACTTTCTCCACTACTCTGCTTAAATGCCTCCTGAGCTGAGAGGTAACTTCATGTTATTTATTTACTGAAGTTCATGAAAACTACTCACAGGGAGCCCTGGTGATCCCATTGCACCAGATAAGCCTGGGTCGCCCTTTTCTCCATATCTTCCAGGATATCCCATTTGTCCTTTCTTTCCTTGAATACCTGGAGGTCCTTGCACACCACGGGGACCAGGAGGACCAGCACGACACGAGCAGAGGCCTTGACTTCCTATGTGAATGTGTCAAAATTACATTGAAAAAGTTGCAGAATTAATACACAAAAAATAATGCTGCCCTTATTCTTTTCTGTGTGAGTAGTGCCTGGACCATTTTATCTCATTTGACTCCCTTCAAAGAGGTGAAGCCTTATCAGCACTAAGTAACTGCTGCACTGACATCATCTACTGATTTAAAAGCTCCAGTGCCAACTGGCCATTTAACTCTGCACTTTAATGGGCCTTGTCCACCAAGTTACCATAAACTTCTTGCACTTTTAGATCTGACATAACTGGCAAAGGTCTCATATTCAAGTGTTTTGTTATCCAGGTATGCTTACCCTTTTCTCCTTTTGCACCTTTTCTTCCTGGAAGGCCTATCTGACCTTTTGCTCCGGGTTCTCCAGGGATCCCTCTGTCAGTACAGATCACACCTTTGAAAAAACAAATTGTACAGCAAGTATAAATCAGGTTGACTCTTTCAACAGCTTAGGTCGTGTATTCTGCTCTCCCTTATCTTGTTATACTCATGTGAAAGGTTAGAGATCTTATTAAATGCTTTACAAGTTGTTGCTTATAAATTATACTACAAGAGTTAGTATGACTCAAGTCGATGTTGACACATGGATTTTCATTGCCACTACTACTTTTTTCCACTTAGAACTTTACTTTTTCTCTTCTAAAGGATACTGATTTGGGCTTCCTCCTCAGTTTGCTGTAGTTTTGACTTCAGGTGACATATTTTTAGAGAATTTTTAAAAATGTGTTACTTTCATGGGCTTAAATCACCCAGAAAACTATGAAAATCTTGAAATCTCACTCATCAACAGCTAATAGGAAAAAGATGTTTTCAACATCCCATGTAAAGTCTGATATATCTGTCAAAATGCACTTTTCACCTTTATGTTTTTTGTAGGACCAACAAAAGCAGTGGATCTATTAACCTGCAGAATTATATTCTTAATACATAAATTGCTGTTGAACCTACTGGGTAGTCCAGGTAAGCCTTGTCTTCCTGGCTGTCCTGGTAAGCCTGGTGGTCCAGGAAATCCAGGTCTTCCTGGGATTAATTCGCCTGTTCCAGGCAAACCAGGGTCACCTTGAAAACCTTGAGGTCCTGGTGCCCCACTTACTCCTGGCAGGCCAGGCAGACCTATAAAAAAAGAAAGGTGTGAAGCCCATACAGCTTCATAGTGATTAGTGTGAGATATCAAGGAGGAAACACAGACCATGCAGAACTGCCCTGAAAAAGAGCTTCTATATAACATCTAAATCTAGATCTTTAGGTTTCCAGGATCCCCAGGAAAGGAGACTTCTGCTTTAGACCTTAAAATGCTTCTTTTCCTCCTCCCCTCCATTGTCTCTTTTCCAGATATCCCAGTTATTCTCATTCCTTATACAGAGCGAAGTCATCCTGATCACTTTCCTTTATATCTTTTTGAGATGGAAAACAGAATTTTTGAGCACAGCACTCCAGATAAAGGCATACCACGGGTTTACAGTGCATGGTAATATTCTCCTTAGCTTTCTGTTCCTTTTCTAGTATATCCTAATGTTTTGCTTGGATAATTTTCATTCTTTTCTTTGGCCACTAAGTGCTCAGTTAATATTTTTACTGAACAATCTGTAGAGCTCAAATCCTTACTGTTGGTGACTTTCATCATGCAAGAACAAAGTAGTTTTCTTTTAGTTGCTTTCTCTACTACTGCTATATAGTTCATATTTTATCCCCTACTTCTCTTACTTGTTCCATCAAGTCCTGGTCTTCCTATCAGGCCTGCAGGACCCATTGGTCCAACTGACCCCATATCACCAACAGGACCCGGAAATCCGGGATCTCCTCGTGGACCTACAGGGAATTATAAAAACATGTGAGTCAAACACCTTATTGACAGCTTAAATCTAAATAAAACTGAAACCAAATTTATAATTTGGAAACTATGTAAGAGTAAAACAATTTATGAAACATTTTTAAATGTGTAACAATTTAATTTTAAGGTAGGAGGATTTGGTTACTTTTCTACGGATTCCAGCCCATTTTGTGGGCACGTTTTTAACTTTTCATCACTCTGTAGTAGTATCTTTGTACTACATATTTCAGAATGCTGAGAGAAATGTTTGCCCAAAATAAAAACACTTGGCATTTAAAATAAATATGCATCTCATGTTATCCCCATTTGGAAGTGCACACAGGGAGGTCATTTCAGGATTGGTTGAAATTATCCAAATTTTTAAAAGTATATCTTCAAAATTGCTACAATTAATAAAATTTAAAATTGCAATTACATACTGATAAAGAAAACCTGAATCAGATATAAACAGCTTCATGAAATTGGAGAAACAAAATATTGGTACTAGTTGTGTTCTCAGTTCTGCTAAGGGCCTTTTTCTCTGAAGATTGTATCCACTCATACACCATGCACATGATTAAATGTTACTTCAGTTATTAAGCATGGGGTTAAGTCTTTTCTTACATGGGCTGGAAAGTCAATGGGAAAAAATGTAATTGATTTTTGGGGAGTTCTGCTGAAATGAGGTTTTGTTGTAATTTACTTCTGTTCACAATCAGCATTTGCTGCAGTAGGAATACAATTTATCATGACTTGTCTGTTGAAACATTCTCATAATACAGATTCCCCAAGTGTTACATGCAAAAGGCAGCAAACTTGGTTGTTCCCCATTGCTTCCTGCTATGAAATAAAATTTCCACACATCTTTTCACTGATTAAATGATAAAGATGGAGATAGAGGGAGCTGGGACATAAAAACCCAGCCTGAGGTTTAGGTAGGCAGGTAATAAATTGACAGGTATTCCGGTGGGGGTTCTAGTTCCAAGATTTTGCCCCTACTATGCAATAGGAAGTTTAATTGTAATCTAAAAATCTACGTGTTGTGGCAATTCTGAAAATAAGAATCTTAAATTACAGTGGGTAGACAGGTTTTCTTATCTGCCATCCATTATCCAGCATGGGCTTATTTTTCATAGTTTTTTCTGAAATATGCCTAGGTCCAATAACTAGAGACAGTCCTTCAGATCCAGTTGTGACTGTGTGCACAAAGATCTTTCAAACAAACATTTAATCTGAAATTTGTATGTTTAACGTAGTTCCAGTGAGATCAGTGAGACAAACAGGTACAGCATGTGGCCACCAGGAAGTGAATGGTTTAGGATCCTGTCCCCGAATCCCTTGGAAGTGACCACTTTGACACACCTCAGCAAAACAGGTCCCACACTTCATACAGCAGAAAGACTGGTTAAAACTAGATATAACCTTTTATAGGAAGCGGTGGAGTTCCAACAGCTCCAGGAGGACCTGGAGGCCCTTTTTCTCCTGGATCCCCCTGTAAGTCCAACAATAAATTTTACTGATAGACAGAAACATACAATGTACCAGCATGTAACTGAAAATTTCAACAACTGTAAGGTGTGTAAGAATGTGACACACATCACCTGGGAAACTTTACTTTGACACTTTATAGCACTTAAAACCAAGCAAAAAGATTTACAATAATCATTATCTTTCATGATACCAGTGACTAAACAGCAATATACCTATCACACATGTCTATTTGACTCTCCAGAACATGTGACTGCTGTATTTGATTTCATTCATTTATTGTAAAGATAACTCAGTTACAGTAAATCAGTACCCATT